ACATAATTTATCCCATGTTGTTCCCACATAGTTTTTCCCATCTAGCGCCCACATAGTTTTTCCCATCTTATTCCCACGTAGTTTTTCTCATTTAGTTCCCACATAGTTTTTCCCATCTAGTTCCCACATAGTTTATCCCATATACTTCCCACATAGTTTTCCCATATACTTTCCACATTGTTTTTCCCATATACTTCCCACATAGTTTTTCCCATATACTTCCCACATAATTCTTCCCATATACTTCCCACATAATTCTTCCCATATACTTCCCACATAGTTTTCCCCATATACTTCCCACATAGTTTTTCCCAAATAATTTTTCCCATATACTTCCCACATAGTTTTTCTCATATACTTTCCACATTGGTTTTGTCCATATACTTCCACCTGTGTGAAGATAGCCCCCTAAAGTTTTGTTAATAACTTTTTAACTAGAGGTGTGCAAACGAAAAATCGAAATGTGCATACATGTGCAAACGATGAACAATCGAATGAGCTATAGAAACTTTATGTTTTTCAATGTTGGGGGGCTATCTTCACACAGCTGCTTTCAAGACATTTAGGCTGAGGGTGAATTCCCACTGAGCGCGTCACGCGTCGCGTCATCCATTGCGTTACGACGCGACGCGAGGTAAACTCAAGCTGGTGTCCCATGGCGCGGAAATCTATAGCGGAACGGAACACGTAAACCAATCACAGCGAAAGAACCAAAAGAAAACTCGTTTATTCTGTTCGTACCACGAAATATACATGTGCATGCTAATTATTTTGAAAAATATAACGATTTAAATTTTTTTCGTAAGATTTCGATTACAGAAACATTCTGTTATACATATACTAGAACAGATTGAAGATCATTTAAACGCATGTAACAAGTAAAAATATCATATTCTTATTACTTTTTAACATTTATTATTTTAAAATATTTTTAAAATCTCATGCACTTTATTACAAAATTGTATTACAAATTACAATATATAACAGTTATAGTGTATGTCAATTACAATAATTAATTGTGACAAAAAATGAGTAATTTTGTAATTTTTTAGAAGTAACTCTTAAATATTGTCTTAAGAAGTTCAATTAATCACAAAGCCATATTAGCATTTTAAAACATTACTTAAGACTGCCTTAAAATAAGAATCAATTATGAATAGTATCCAAAGGCCAAAGTATCTTTTATGTTGGTAAATATTGATCATCCATGTCCATTTTTGCGAATGTAGATTAATTAGTTATGTTAAATGTATATTCTTTGGCTTAGATTCCGAATTTCCTTTTGTCAACAAAAGTGCTTCTTAAGCTCTCATTTTTATCAATGTAAATTAATTTTGATCTTGGTTTAAATTTATTTTATCTATAAATCTATGAATTAAAAGGAAATAAGAAATAAATTAAATCCAAACCAAAATTAATCTATGTTGATGAAAATAGGGGGAGTAAAAATAATTTACAGTCTATCGAAAAGCTTATAAAGACTCTCTTAAGACCATATCAGACTAACGGTTAAATTAATTTTTTTTAATTTTAAGAATTAGTAAATGTATATTAAATCGGAATTAGAGGTGCCTCGTTATCTTTAATTGACTTTAGTGTCGATCCACAATAAGTGATTTAAGCTTTAAGAAGTAAGAAATTGAATCATAATCAAATATGAATAAAATAATTGATTGATCAATTTCTTAGGACTTAAAGATTAAATATCTATTGTGGACCGAGACTTAAGTTTGATCTTTTTAGCCACCTTTTATCTTTTCTCTTTTTTTCGCTACATTGATGAGAGAAAGAAGAAAGATAAATGATGCAAAAAGTTCAGTTAAAAAGAACAATCCTTTCATCGATCGATTCAAGTATCGCCAACTGCAAAACTTAAGACTGATAATTCCTAATCTACTTTTTTCTAATTATTAATTACAAGTATTACTTAATTATTGTTCAAAAATATTACATTTTACACAAATAAATCATAATTTACAGCCAATTAGAAATTATCAAATTAGTTTTTAATAACTGACATCAATCAAAAAGAATTTTCAAAAAGAATATTTTCCGTGCAGAAAGTTCAGATACAAGGATACAAACCTATGTTAATGGTCCATAGATCCATGTGATTTGTTAACCTGATTGAATATTTGTGTTTTTTTATAAAATCCAGGGAATTCCCACCAGGAATTTCCAGTACTTTCTGCGTACGTGGCATTATAGAGCTTCGCGACATTCGAGGATAGAGTTCCGTACCAGGCAGAACGGGAGCAGTTTGATATCTTGATTACTACGGCATAGTTGAAATTGATCATCGTTGATCCAAGAATCCAAACTGATCATTGCAAGTAGTGGAAATTACTCGGCAACATCAGAAAGTGATATAAGTCACAAGTGTTGTGAGTTTCATCGAATAAGATTTAAGACAGGATGCCGAGAAAGGGTATGCAAAAATATGCGTAATTGTTTTAGAACAAATTTTTTTCAATCTATCTCTCAGGATTGCATCATCTGATCGGTGATCGTTTTTATATTAATAATTGATAATAATTAATACATCAATAATATTTGATTATTTTTCATTATTCCAAGTATTTGTATCGAGGAAAGATGATAAATATATATAAGAAATAAGTCAAGGTTATCGATTTACACGAATATCTTTCTATTTACGATGAATGTCTGTAATTTCAGTTAAAAGTCAAATTGATAGCGAGTCGAATAGTTAGACTCTGCATACAAAGGAAGGAAATATCAGAAACAGGAATGAATATTAATTTTTGAAACAATTTGGAATAAAGATTAAATGTAAAGCCCAATGGATATGGCTATATCTTATACTTTCCATTATGCATTATGTTTAATCTTTATTCCAAATTTTTATTTCCAAAATTTAATATTTCCTGTTTCTAATATTTCTTCCATTATGTGTAGAACTTAAAATGCGTCAAACTGCCTATTGTATATATCTATATTTAAACTAATGTAATATATATTTGTATTATTGATATTATTTTATAAACTAAAATGTGTGAAATAGTTATTCTATTATCACAATTATTGATTACTGACATAGATATCATTATACATACCAGTCATAAGTCAGAAAATGCAAAGTCAAAGTAATGACAAATAAAGGGATACCTATATTTCTAGGAATACATTTATATATTCAAAAGTTATGATAACAATAATCTCAAGGTTACAAACAATAAATTATGCTTAAAGTGTATATACTAGAATTTATTGGATAAATTTAAGATATTAAATTTTTTCAGGTAACATTGAAGTTTTTTTATTTTCTTTATTTCTTTCTCCTGTAATGTTTAATATTTTAGTAAAGAAAGTATGCATAATACAATTAAAAATTAACTTATTTATTTCAAATAAAAAGTAGATCTTTAACATTTTCATAGTCAATTTTTAATTAAAAATTTTGCTATAAAATGATTCTATGCTACAATCTTGAGATTTGATCTGTACAGATTTTTTAAATGTAATAATATCTTTAATAAAAGATTTATATAAATTATAGGAAAGAAGAAGAAGACAACAGATGCATCAACTTCAAAAGATGCTTCTGAAGAGAAATCACAACAACAGACTTTACAGCAGAAAGAACAAACTTCTTTGCAACATGAAGTATCACCAAGTACATCACAAGCACATCAAAAGCAAACAACATCGGACTTATCACAACAACAAAGGCAGCAAGTATCATCGGCTGCACCAGCTGCACCAAAATTGCAAGGAGCATGGGCCACTCGACAACAACAACACGAGCAAGTATCACAGCAGCAAGGAGCAATGAGGGCCCCACGACCACAGCAAGTACCATCGTCTGTATCACAACAACAAGGAGCATTAAGTCCACGGCCACAACAGCAACAAACATCACCATCCGTATCGCAGCAACAAGGAACATGGGGTCCACGGCCACAACAACAACAACAACAAGCTCCACCACCCGTATCACAGCAGCAAGGAGCATGGGGTTTACAGCCACAACAGCAACAAATCTCCATCATCTATATCACAGCAACAAAGAGCACAAGGTCCACGGCTACAACAACAACAAGCACCATCCGTATCGCAGCAACCAGTAGCATGGGGTGCACGGCCACAACAACAACAACAAGCTCCACCACCTGTATCACAGCAACAAGGAGCATGGGGTGCACGGCCACAACAGCAACAAACCCCACCATCTATATCACAGCAACAAGGAGCATGGGGTCCACAACGACAACAGCAACAAGGAACATCGGCCCCACAATCACAATGGCAACAGCAACAACATCAAGCAGCATGGAATCAACAACAACCAGCATGGTGGGGTTTACAACAACAAGTTCCACAGAGTTACATACAACAACAGCAAGTAGGATTATCTCCAGTACAACCAGCTATATCACAACAGTACCAACAGCAATTACAGCAGAGCCAACTACAACAGCAAACATCTCAGGATCAGTTACAGCAACAAGGTATAGTAGTGCCAACAAAAAGTATCAAGTAAAAATGTTATAAATAAACAATAAAGATAACATCAGAATATTCTGAATATTTTTATATCCGTGATTATGCTATTCGGCTTAAAATTTTTAATTTGTATGTATGCAAATAATAATAAAACTGTTTTATAAATTCAGCAAGAACATAAAAACATGAACATAAACATAAACGTGAACATTACAACATTGAGGCAACAATCGAAAAATATAAAAATAGAAAAGTAGAGTCTGCTGTCAATTCATTTATATATATATATATATATATATATATATATATAATAAAATATATATAAAAGACTAAAATTGCTATGTTATTAATACATTGATAGGTTTACATAGAAGAAGATAATCCTATTATTTTATATAAATATTTCAATTGAAAAGTACATATATTTTATATGAGAGGATACATAAAAATTAAATATTTGACATTTTATTATTTTTTTTATATATTTTAATTTTTCTATAAATATTACAGTGGTGCGCGCGCGCGCGCGTGTGTGTGTGTATGTGTGTGTGTATACACATAGTGATCATGTTTCTCTTGTTTTTTTTTGTAGTTGGTGGTTCTGGTGATCAAGTGCAGGCAATAGATAAAAATGTACAACAGCAACCATCAACAAGTGCTGAATTGGTTGAGGTATAAATAGTCATATAATTAATATATATTATAATAATTATTTTTACATATTTATACATATATGAGTATAATATATAATGACATATGAATATACACTAAAATCATAAAAAACTATAATACATACTACAATCTCTACTATAATACATATTATAATCTCCTACCAATTCAGAAAACAGTTTTTTAAATTGCCATTCCTTTTTTTAGACTGGTTTGGAAGAACTCTCATCAAAGAAAAATAAGGAGAAAGGAATTGATTATCAGAAGGAATTTTATGCTATGATACCAAAAAGGAAAAATCCTCGTCAAGCAGGATTAAAAGGGACACCGACTACAGTGTGGACAAATATGTTTAAAATTATATTTGATAAAAATTTTATATCCACTGCAGTTCATTATGATGTTGACATTCAACCTAAGGTAGATAAGAAAAAAGAGGCCTTATCAAAAGCGTCATCAGAATCTACAACACAACCAAAAAAACTTCCTAAAGCCTTACAGAGAACTATTTTTGAAAAATTCAGAATTGAACATTGTAAGAATAGATATCCAGCATTTGATGGAAACAAAAATGCATACAGTGCCAAAAATCTTCCTTTTGATGAAGTAAATAAATCGCTTGCATATATTAATATAATTATTACAATAAGTTTTATAATATTGTTTAAAATTGAATTTCATAATAAGCATAAACTTTGAAGAATAAATTGTTTATAAAATTTTTGAAAACAATTTTATTCCATATAGATATCAGCCGATATTGAGATTCAAGAAGAACATACACAACGAACAAAATTGTTTAAAATTACCCTGAAAAGAAAAGAAGTGATTGATCTTAAATGGCTACAAAACTTGAGACCTGGTATTAATTTGAACCCCACACATCAAATCGGTGTACAAGTTTTGGATATCATCATGCGTCATCAATCGGAATTACAAAATTTTAGCGTAAGTAATTAATAGCAATTTTGTCAATTTATAAGTAATTTTTGCAGTTTTTATACAATTGTAAATAAGTTAATTTTTGGAAACATAATTGCATATTTGTTTTTAAAGAAGTATTAGCATATTATTTGAATGTATTCTTTAATATTTTTACATTTCTTAATATTCATTGTTTATATTTCATGAAAAAAATATAGGTTCAATAGAGGTAATTTATTTAAATATAAGATAATCATGATAATATATATGTTATAGGTTGGAAGATCATTGTTCTGGGTAGTACCAAGTCGATATGAATTAGGTAATGGCTTGTCCTTAGGGCACGGTGGATTTCAATCTGGTATAGCTGGCTGGAATCCATATTTAAATATAGATGGTAAAGTATTCATTCAGTAATGTTTATATTAATACTTTCATGTAAACATGATTGTATACAAAGTATAAATGATGCTTTTAGGTTTTTTACGATTTAATGATTTTTTTATTAAAAACTGTATCTATGTTAAATAGCTTTATATGTAATAATAATATATATTCTTGTATTTTATTTAGTTTCTCATAAAGGATTTCCTACTAATCAGACTGTCCTTGCATGTATGGCTGAATTTGCACGTGTTGATAAAAAGCAGCTTACTGCAGAGAATATAAATAGTATAATTATGAGTAAATTGAATAGATTCCTGAAGGGTCTAAAAATTATCTATGAAATACCCAATGTACGGAATACGAAACGGACGTACCGTATACAGGAATTAAGCACAGAAACTTCTATGTCGTATAGATTTTCAGAAGATAACTCAAGCCATTTCATTTCTATATATGAATATTTTAGAAAAAGAAAAAACTATAAAATATGTTATCCTAATTTGCCTGTTGTCTTAGTGGGCAAAGTCAGCAATAAAAATATTTATCTGCCTGCCGAAGTACGTATATTTGCTAAACAAGTGACAAATTAAGACAAATTAAACATTTTTTTTATATATTTATAGTTATGTACTATTATATCTAAACAAAACTATAACAAAAAGCTGGATGAACAACAAACTGCAAAGATGATTAAAATGGCAGCAGTATGTGCGCCTGACCGTAAAAAGAGGATAGAAGAAGCGGTAGAGATTTTATTATTATTATTGAATATGATGTTATATTATAATGTTATTTATTATGTCATATGTTTGTAGTTTCAGAGAATTGGAGTAAATGATAGTCCCGTTATGAGAAATGAGTTTCATTTATCAATCAATCCAGAAATGGAACGGGTACAAGCTAGAATCTTAACGCCTCCGACATTGAAATATGCTGAACGTACAGAGAGAGTATGGAAAGGAACATGGCAAGCACAAGTATTTAATCGAGCTAAAAATTTGGAATCTTCCTCATGGACTATTTTTAATTTGAGTGGAATATCCAATATTCATCCTCGCATGGACGATTTCGTAAAAGATTTAAAACAGCAAGGTTAATATATGAAAAAAATATTTAGATTATAACTTAAATGTATTTTATTGGAACTTTTTAAGAGGTGCATTTATTAATTGCAATAATTTGTTAATTATTGCAATTGAGTGAAAATTGTGGTATAATTTGCAATTCATTTAAATAATTAATGATTTGTAATATTGAATTACATATTTTACATAAATTACGTTTACATTATATTACATAAATTGTTATATTTTTTTTAGCTTCTTATCTTGGTATGCAGATTGGAGATCCCCTACGTCCCTTTCAGTTCATTGCAACGAGACCCATTGATAAAAACGAAATCATTCGCTATTTTCAACAAAAAAATAATCTAAAATTGATAATAGTTATTATACCAGATTTTACAAATGAATTATATGGTAAGTACATAATTATTGTTTTTTAGTTTGATAAAATTGATGTAATATAATTTATCTTTCAGGCATAGTAAAACAGATTACTGAGTTGAGAGTGGGTGTTCTTACACAATGCATGAAGCTGAAGACTTTGCAAAGAAGTAATCCTACAACTGTAAAGAACATTCTTTTAAAAATAAATTCCAAATTAAATGGTATTAACCATATGTTAAGCCAAATGTAAGAGATTTTAATATTTGTATTTTACTAGTTTAGTACAGAAATACTTATTATAATATTGATTAAGATCAGTAATTATACTTTGTTCTTATTTTAAGATTATCTTAAATAATAGATGCAATTCATAATTGGTTTATTTTAAATTTGTATTTAAAATAATTTTTTTTTATATAAGAGTGATAATATGAATATTTTAAAATTATTTCTTTTTTTTTTTCTTTTAGACCAAGCTCTCTACAGAATGCTATGCTCATTGGTGCTGATGTGACTCATCCATCTCCTGATGCTCAAAATATACCATCTATAGCAGCAGTTTGTATATTCAGTAAACACGCTAACTTTCCTTTACATAGATACATATTATTTAAAAAAATACATTAATTTAGGTCGCTACTAGTATTGATACTTCTACCTTTCAATATAATATTGCACTTCGGCTTCAACCACCTAAACAAGAAATGATTGACGATTTGGAAAATATAATACTAGAACAACTTATGATGTATGAGAAAAAAACATCGCGTCCACCGAAAAAAATTATTTATTATCGGTATGTATTATAGTAATGTTCAGTGTTATACGAACTATTAAAAGATACATTTTCAAATATGTTTTAAAAATTCTATTTTAATTGAATAAAAAGAAGTTTAATTTTATATGCATATTTGTATGTGAATTGTATGAGAATGATTAAAATTTTAATTTTTTGTTTATATTTACAATTTAATATTTATATTTTAATATCTAGAGATGGAGTTAGCGAGGGACAACTCCCACAAGTCATGTATCACGAAATAACAGCTATTAAAAAAGCATGCAGAACATTTAACAGAGGCAATATTCAAGTTAACTGTTTGATTGTTCAAAAGAGACATCATATCCGTTTCTTTCCTACAAATCCAAATGAGACAGATGATAAACATGGAAACGTAAAAGCGGGCACAATTGTTGATACAACAATTACTCATCCGGATCACATCGATTTTTATCTCACATCACATGCGTCTATTCAAGTAAAATGATTAATTACAAAAATACATTTTGTTTATATAATTGTAAATATAAAGAAATATTTATCAATGTAAAAATTTTACAATAATCATAATTAGCAATAGTTAATGTATAATAATTGCAACTCAATAATTCATTATCTCTTTCACAAATATCTTTTTCCAAATTATATAATCATTTGTAGATTATCATCATGTTATGAACCATATTTGATGTCTGTATTAGGTTGTTTTCCACTGTGATTGAAATAAATTGCAATGTTTATGAAACATTGACATTAACAATGCTTCGCGACATATATGTAACTCGCAAACCATATTCAGTACTTCATCCTAAGAAATATTAATATATATATGCATCATGAAAATATATATTTCTTCTATCAAATGAAATTTATTTGACATAATGATGATTTTGTTATAAAATATAGGGTACAGCAAGACCTACAAAGTACAGATGCATATGCAACGAATCTGGATTTAGCGAAGATGATATCGAGGAAATGACCTATTTTCTTTGTCATATGTATGCTCGCTGTACAAGATCAGTGAGCTATCCGACGCCAACTTATTATGCTCATTTAGGAGCTTATCGTGGAAGAGCCTTAATACAAGGGTTAGTAATTAATCACAGTACGAATCAACAGTAGTTCATCTTGCTTTATAGTCACGGTCTGTAAAACAATATTTTCATTCGCAGGGTTCCAATTAATTTGAGTAATTTGGAAGCACAACAAAAAATATTAGAAATGAAAATGCCGGAATCACCGATGTATTTCGTTTAAAATTGGATGTTTATATTTCGAGAATTTATGATCGAGGCAGTTTAAATATCGATCTTACTCTTTTTCAACGATGGCTGCAGATAGATCAAGTTAATAATTAAATTAATACTTTATTCTAGACATGTACACTGCGTTTCATTC